ATATATATATATATATATGTAGTACATCAGGTACATTTGGTCAATACATCTAGTTTTGATACAGTTGCATCAACTTTCCTCAGATTGTGGTCAGAGTAAACTTTACAGAGAATCATGAGTGATATTAAGATAGTTCAGGGCTCCTTGAATGAAATTTTGGGGAAAAACAATGAAAACGCGTATTCAATACCTTCACACTTAATATAATTTTTTTTTAATGGCACATGTTAGAAATCACATTGGTGGTATTCATATTCCCTTATATCTCTAATTCTTCCCGACACAAAAGAAAAAAATACACTAAAAATTACATAATATAAGTGAGACAGTGGTGTGAAGTGATAAGATCTCTTGTAAGTCTTGAACACCCAAAAATCAATCCTTCCTCCAAATAATATTTCCGCTGTAACCTACAATTTATACTTATAAATTACAAAACAACAAAAAAGTTTATTGTAGAAAATTAAAACAACCAGACTTCTTTTTGAGCAATGGTAACAAAGATCTAATGTTGCTTTGCTTAAGAAAATGACTATATTAAATCTGAAATACTTTCTCTTCATCTCACACTTTCCCATGTAAGTTCTCCTCAGTCACTTGTATAACATTTAATGTTATTTCTATAAATCTTCAGTTTGTCACTCACTTTACGACCATCCGTCCACAACCTCTCCTCTAGGCAAAACGAGCCCCAACTCCCCTCCCCAACAGATGGCCAGTGTTTATTCTCTGAACTCGCTAAACTAGGTGGCGTTGTCCACGTCTAGGCGGCAACCGCGCAGACATTTGAATTTCTTGGTGTCTTTCTCGCATGAACGATACGATGTGATTGATCGCAACATCAGTTGGTGGATGTCATAATTGCAGTGACAAGGCAAATGCTTATGTTAAGTTTATGATTATAAGTATCGGTAGATGCTATTCGTTTCAAGTTTGCGTATGGTCCACAATATTGTAACTGACCATGATATTCACGGGGGATTTATTCATGGGGCGTTCTCCTGGTACTTTACCCGTTACGTTCCTTTCAAATACATTTTGTAGAGAATTTTCGTATCGTACCTCAAATACGTTTCTACAACCTTGTGTATACGCTTGTCTGTAGACTTCACCAGCTCTCAAAGTATGAGTTGGCTTGAGAAATGCGAAGGCATTGTCTGAGTAGTACGTGCTTTGTTATACAAATGTATGAAGTGTGTTGCTATGGTGGCGCTTTGATTTTAAAATATTCCCATCACATTTTCTAATTTATAAGTTTTGTTGTTTTCAATTTATTCGTACATGACCAAACTGATAAGTCGACAATTCTTTGTGCCTTTGGCATTTGTGATTTTCTAACAATTAAAGGTTCCTAAAAATCGAATTAAAAAATTGCATTTAAAGCTAGATAAGATACAAACAGAATGAACAAGATATGTGCAATGATATGTTCCATGTGTTTTATCCAGAAAATGTAAAAAATTATTTATAAATTTCTTATATACACGCGAACAACAAATAATAAATTATAGCGATTTTTTTACAATTTAAATTTATGTTCGAAAAATGTTTTAAAGATTTGTGCACTCACGGCAATGTGAGTAGATAAGCTACTTTTGCTGTTTACAGAAAATTTATCAAAACTACACATTCAATCGTCCATTTTTTTCGATAACCAATTCTTTCCAAAAAGTTATCTTCAATGTGTGTTCTTGAATGGAGCTTAATACCAAAATTGCATTCAAAAGAGGGTAACATAATGAAGCACGGATATGAACAAATTAATCACTGTCATGATCTACTATGCTATTCGACATGTTGTTCAATAAAATCGAGCATTACGCCAAAGTTTACAGAAAAATGTAGATAGATTTTATTTCAATTTACTGCGTTAAAACCTTCGCTTCTTTACACAAATATTAAACATCTAGAAAAATCACATCCACGAACTGCACAGCTTACATGTCACACGATCTCGGGAATACAATTAATATTTTATTTCTTCTTGGACACCAGGAAAACTTTCGTCTTACTCTACGAGCTGGCGTCTCGCTGTAACCCATCGTTACTCAGAACACTAATACCAACTCTTATTTGTTCACTCCGCTATTGACGACATATACATTGTCATCAATATAATTTACTATCTTATAATCAACATAAATGTAGTTATTAACATTTAAATGGTTGTTGGCCATATTAATTAACTCAATGACATTCGTTTACTACCTTTTTATTTATTGCCTTGTCCAAGTTGACAACAATGACAGATATAACTGAATTCTGTCCTGTCCTCCCCTCCCCTCGTCGGATGGGGATTCTGCTTGCTGGCTCCGCCCCATTTCGGGCGCCGGGCGGTGTTTGTGGACGGGGGCGTCCGTCAGCAACATCTGACCACCTCGCCGCCGTCCGCTTATTCTAAACGAGGACCCGCCTGGCTGTTCGGCGCCTGTCGGGTTGGCGACGGGGTCATGGAGATGACGGAGGCCTCCGTGTGTCAGAAGCACAAGTGACTGTGGAGCAGGGGCGACGGGGCGTGTGTGGTGAGTGGGTCGCGGAGGTGGCGGGCGGATCATACACGACGCAAATTGCTTCCCGTTGGGCGTCTGGCCAGGGCCACGATGTCACCTGTTGAGTGATTGTGATGTGCAGGGTGTTTGAGATCGAAATTAAAGCACGATGGGGGCTGTTTTATTGACAACTACGCATAGTTAATGGTGCAACGTGGGGTGCTCGGAGGGCAGATCTGGAAGATCTGCAGATTCTTCAGTGTTGTTTGGAGGAGGTACAGAGAAAGACGAAAGAGAATTTTATTCGGCGTTTATTAGCTTTCATTTATCAAAGTCACACACTGAGTCATACAAACAGTTGGTACATTTGATCGGTGGCCACGTGGGGCGGGGCGCTTTCTACACTACGAACAGCTTATGTACACGAGGCGGCTGAACAAAGGCTAGCGAAGGTAGCTGGGAGCCTTCAGGAACAGTTGGGCATTGCGTTTCCTTTTCTCTAGCTGCTTTCGCTTGGACGAAAACTCAGCAAGCAATGGAAAACAGGTTGCAATCACTCACAGCACTCTTAAATTCAAAGTAATCGGCAGATAAAGACCTAAAATGTATATTACGATTTAGGCTGACAGATAAGTATATCAAATTCGATTTCGGGCGTGCCTTAAAATGAATTTGATAGCTATTGGTTTGTGATGTAGTTGTATTTTTCAGAATATTTGACAAAGCAGTGTTATTAATTGTAATTACGTATATGAGAAATGAACGGCATTGTAAAAGATTAACATTTCCAGTTTAACATCTTAATAAAAAATTCTGAAACCTGGACAGTGTCATTCCTTAGAGGTATCCTCCTGATGTTCCTGTTCAATTAATTGTCCCAAGAACTTACATTACGAATCTAGAAGTAATTTCACCGTGATAAGTTACAATCATTAATGTACTATATTTTACCACATATGTGCTTGTGATTGTGGATGATCTGTATTTAAGATATAACAAATACATGATTGAAGAAAACATTTAAATGCAATCTTCCAAATGCATACGTAACAGGATTCCTTTCATTTCATGAAAAGTTACTTCCACCCGTTTTGTAATACAGATGGTCTTAAATGTCAAGGCATAACGACATAATGGTGTGTTTGGGAGAATATGTGTAATTTGTAGTTCAGAAAAATGATACCTATTGACTTGTTTCGTGTAATAACTTCTGAATAATACGAGTTCCAACGAGTCCCAATTGTCCCGAAATTTGGAAATTGTAAAGAACAATAAAGAAAGATTCCGTAAGTGAGAACAAAATATCTGACATCAAATTGTTTATTCAGACACACGACGATTATCTTCAGATATAGAAACCAGAAGACATTTCGCTTCTTTTGAATTGTCGGCAACTTCAGGGATAAAAAATTCGTAGAGGTCAGAGTTATCGCAGTTGTAACTCAAGTACAAATAATAAAACTAACCGTATTATTATTTTTTTTCAGAATTTTAACCAATGTTTAATAAATTTAAAAGCGATTGGTAAATTTCAATATTTCATCCTTTCTTGTAAATACTGGCCTTCTTAAAATAAAACAATTCTCAACACTCATTCTTGCATATTTGCTCTTTGTTATCTTACCAAACCAATCAAGTAGTAAATAAAAGGAGCAAGAACATCCACAATCAAAAACAATAAGACCTACGTCAAAATTGTCACTGGCTCTTTTCCTCGGCCAAACCCAAAGCTCCCGAACAAGGTGAAGGTCACGTGATATGCGAATGGTGCCTGCGCCTCCAGCGCCACCGACTTGGGAAGGGGTGAAGTCTTATTCCTCCATAAGTCACTACACTAAAGGTGGAGGTACACTATCAAAATATCCCTTCTCGTAAGAAGGATTCTGCGGATATAATTCCTGGGAAGTACTAGCCACTACGTAATCCTACTCCTTTCCGCCGGCCTCGTGTGGCTGGCATCGCGCCTGCGATCGGCCGCCGTGTCTGAGGAGCTGGCCAAACGTATTTTCTTCGTTTCCATTAAAAATAGCATGAGGGACAGAAGCGACAAATTGTGTATAGTATATACGAAATCGTAAAAGTAAACACTCTTCAGACACTATCATCTAAGTCTGGATACTGCATTTTTAGAACAAATTGTATATATTTTCAATTGATGACTTTGATTTTGTCACATGTTCTCTTTATTTTTATGAATTAATTTTATTCAAATCATTGAATGGTTTTAACCGATAATCATAACGCATACATTTGTTGATACCTCAAAGTAAGAAACAGTGTTCAACCATTACGACAGAGTGTAAAATATTACACATCATAAAGTCATTTTTTTCTTTATTTCTAAGCATTCGATGCTTTTTATGCCATTAATTTCGAATTTTGAGTGTCGCAATTCCATCAGTCATTTCAATTATTTTTGTTTCATATGCTGTTCTCAGCCTTATTGATTAAGAAAAGATGTTTTTCACATACATTCAGTTTTGGGGATCGCAACATATCAGTCATAAAGTATCTCTGTGTCATTCTACTACCCCTAAATTACTTGCATTTGTGGAAAAAGTTTCTCAAATAATACATATCACGTGCACGCCCATAATCAATCATTGAGAGAGTCTTCAATATACACAAACACTTCACTCAGACAGTGCTTTCTGTTGCTCCCGACTCTCTCGCCTTAACTCTACACGTCAATGAACCCAATGCAAGACACTACACACTCTTCACAGCTCTCAATCATAGCGTGCTTAGTAGACACATGCAGCCAGCACAGCAATAATATTAGTTTTGGGGACGTCGTTCTCTGGCACAGAACATACATACACTGTACACTAATTTGACGGATAATACAAACAAAATAAGTGATTATAGCCTTGGGAGATTTCATTTTTTTGTATACACGGGGAGATAAGTCCAGCGCATCAACACACGCTGTGCAGACACCTCATTGTCAAGAGAGTTATGTCACAACGACACGTTGCAATAAATAAGCTAAGCGTAGCTGCTTGCACGCACACTTTGCACTACTGTCCCGTCAAGCGAGCACACTAGTAACAGTAATAGTAGTACACAATAAATAGAAGTAGGTCCTTCTGAAATATACTACTCAGAAGTTGAGTCTACCTGACACTCACTCGGACGTTTCTAGGGATGGACCCTGTTGTTTTCGCTGTAACCGTTTTCTTGAAGTCGGCAATTCTGCTATTGAAAAATAAATTGAGTTGTCTTTGTGGAATTACAGGTACCATGCAGTACATTGGGCTCCAATGAATAATTACAATGAGTGTTATGGTTATGCACAAATGTTCCAGTAAGAGATTTTTTGATCGGTCTATGTCTTGCGATACACATTACATCCAGACATTGAAGGAGTCGTTCCAAATCTGTCGACGGGGTGTGAGGAGGGGAAACCAAGAAAACAGAGGCAGCAACCACAGCGAAGTGCATCGTCTCGCCTTGCACGTCATCCGCTTGAGCAGCGCTTGGCCAGGGCCGGGAGGCGGCGGCCCTGCGCGGTCCCTGAGAAGAGGAGGGGGAGGGCGGCGGCCCTGCCACTAGGAGCCCGCGGCGGCCGCGCTGGGGCAGACGCCGTGCGCCACGACCAGCACCGGCAGCAGCAGCAGCACAACGGGCGGCCACGGCGCCGCTGCCCGGCCGCCGCCGCCGCCGCCGCCGCCCAGGGCCACTTCTAGGGACAAGAAAGCCGATGCATAACTCCTTTGGCATTGAAATGAGATAAAGGTCAATCCTTTCACGTTGCGACCCTAGTACTGCGGTCTTCTTCAGATACAATCTAAAATATAATAAAAACTACCACGTAATAATATGTTTTTGTGTGGGAATATAGGTAAGAGAGGAATTGTCAAATATAAACATGAAAGGACAAAGTACGAACTAAGCGCATTGGCATTTAACGACACATCAAACTTGAGTTTCTCATATTTATTAAGATATTTGAAATAGTACTGATTTAATGTGCCAAAGCATTATTGCATAAACGTGTTCACAACATTCCAGAAGCATTACATCCCCGTTGTAAATGCCCGATTAGGCAGATGCTCGATTAGCACACGCGCCGCATCGGCCGCGCACAAACTCTCCTGCTCATCTCGCGACTGTCCGGTATGAAAGGGCGTTATTTCCAACAGCTTCCACCAATTTGCTATGCTGATGCAGAATGCTCGGACATTTATCTCATAGATAATGGCAATCTTTGCATGTGAGCGCTGCTCAAAACGGGTTACATTCATCTATCAAGTATATTGATGCAGAATTAATTTGGGTATGTATGTAAAAAAGTGAAATTTTTCAAATTTTAAATACACGAGCTTCGGAATATTTGAGAAAGCATTCCAATATATAAAAGAATTTCGTACACAAAGCAAAGCGCGCCGTTCTGTACTCACCCCGCTGCTTGGACACCTGCTGCGGGCCCGACAGGTCCATTACTTCGTTGCTGCCGCGATCGTCTCCCAGCTCTCGCGCCTTGGCTGCAACACGCCACGCACCTGTCAGCCACCGCACGCACTCAATATCTAGTGCAACTTTAACTCAATAATAAAAAGTAAAATTGCTTCTAAGCCTCCTTATAGTCATCCGTTTAAAGCAGAAGTCAATAAAAGATAGTAAGTTATGATGAAAGAAATAATCTAATTTTCCTATAAATTGGAATAAATGCTGATTGCGAGGTTTAACTAAAAAATGGACGATCTAACTTCTTCATACAAATATTTCCTAACGTCACAGAATTTCTGAACAATCATTAAACAAGACACCTTTTTTAATCAAAGTTTTAATACAATTTGAAAAGATTGCGTTTCGACATATTTTTCATTTAATTGCTTTTAACGTGTTTTCTCGCATGTGTGATGACAGAAGCAAATGCGATTTCTACTTTCGCAAAATTATTCAAACGAAAACTCCATTACGCAAGAAAGGTATGATATAGTTTTCATATCATAACTACGTTCCGTATTCACATATCAAAATTATCAGAAAAAAATTGAAAAGTTAACGCAGAAAATATTTGGTGATTTAATTATTAAATCACATACGACCCAGATTACTCGACTTTGAAGATGACAAGTGTGGTGAGCTCCAGAACCAAATAAAGATAAACGTATTCTGCCAAACCTGCAAAACCCACACTCGACATTGGGATTTTGGACGGTTCGTTTTATTTGCGCGCATTCCACAAAGTGAAACCAACAATTTTGAAAGAGCTTTTTCCGAGAGCGCAGAGTGGAGCCCCCCCGTGGTCACGAGCGAAAGTCAGCGCCGCTTGAGGCCGGCCGGGCCCGGGCGCCTCGCTCAAGTTGATTACTTAGCGCCCTCGTCAGCTTTCTGTTAGCCGCGCTCGGGCTTTGTACAGCGCCCGGACACGACACCCTGGCCGTCGGCGCCGCCGGCGGCCGAGGCCAATTACCTCCATTTGCGGGCGCCTGCCGCCGTCGAGGCGCTGTAAGTGGCGGACTCGCAATGGAGCCGGGGTCGCGAGGGAGCCCGTGAGGTGACGTGGCTGTGATTGCCCTCTGGGGCACGCACGCGCGGGGGGTTGTGGGGGGGGCATCGGCACCCGCCGAGGTCGCTGATGGTCATCGCTGATGGCGCGAAATTGAATTATTTGGGTGGGCGTACATCGCGGAATCGCATCTGGCAAGGGGCTCAAGATGAAAGGAAGGCCTGCGAATCACTATTCCGTTCATTTATTACATGCAGCAGCTGAAATTTGTAATACGATGTTTGAATTAATGGATTATTTGTGTATTTCACAACCGCCTCTAAAATTTTGTAATATAGATTTTCCCAAAGGATAAAGGTTAAATATATACATATTTGTTAAAAATTATTCAACCAAAATTTGGGAGCGCTTTCAGTGATTCAAATGCAAAGCAAATATCGCATCCGAAATTAGTATAACACATCATTTTTCCTGAGACAGCTGTGTAGTTGCCATGTTTAACCATGTTATACACATTATGAAAATGAGTAAGTAGCCTATATTGGACACCTCAGCAGGACAAGTGACAAGTCATGATTTTAGTTTGGTGATCGTAATTAACCTTCTGACGAGCACTTCACTTCCACACATGCTGGGAGAAGCCCAGTTAGGAGCTTAGAGCTTGTCCCGGCTGGGGCGATACCCCGCTGGTGGGAGATACCTGGTTGGGAGAAACCTCGCTAGCCGACGATAGGTCGGGGCCGGACACCATACAACGGGGGAAGACCACCGTCACCTCTCCAACAAAAACATGCTCTACACTTACGGGACTAATAACTTTAGTAGTTGACGAGCCCAAAATCACTGACAATCAATCAATCCAATCAATTTCAGTGTCTAATTGCTTTGAAATAAGAGACGACGAGCTTTAAGCCCATGTCTTACAGTTCGAGGGCATTGGTGATTGAGAGGTTGCGACTTAATTTCGTCACAATAAGGAAATATACGTTTATTATCGGTGAGTCTGTGGCGCCTGTCGGAATTGAATTCCCAGGGCGAGTGCTCTGATCGAAAGTTTCCGGAGTTACCCTAATCACTTTCACGCAATGACTCGCCATTCTTTCTTCCACATCCTGTCTCATTCCCAATCTTTAGGACTCAACAATGCGTTGATCACTCAGAAGCTAAAGGTCCTTCTGACCTAAACATACGCCTCGGTCGAATGTCAGAGATAGTCAAACGTAAAACTGTAATTACTGCAGAACCATAAACATAAAAAGAAGTTGCTGAATAACAAAATTCAACGTCACGTAGGTTACTGCCATATGGTTCGACAGCCAGCTACGGGCATTGGCCGACCAGCTGTGACGTAGCCTCTCGGCCATGGGATAAGGGATACGTGTGGTTAGCAGGAAGACATCCCTACACCGAGTACTCTGGTCTTTATAACCTTTGGGTGGGCTTTCTCATTGCCCCTCAGCAAAAGATACTGGCACATTTGTAAGGAAAGCGTACGGTTATTATTTTGCCCCGACCGGGAATCGAACCCATGGCTGTGCTTTGGAAAATCGAACATGATAACGAACAAGCCAGCCGTAAGGGCTCAAAATGTGTACAACCTGGCTCAAACTTTATGTGAAAAGTATTAGATTCTAAATACCTATTACTTTATTATTTATATGTAGAGAATTCTTCATACATTTTCAAAACATTGCAAGAATTACGCTGAGAATTCTTTATTACTTTTTTCTGCTAAACTGAAGGGCAAGAAAGGAACCAAAATAATAAAAAACTTAAAATTAAAAAGGAAAGTGCAAATGATAAGCTCCAAAGAGATTGCATGCAACCTAGAAGCGCAAAAATAGAAAACGAAAAATTACCAAACACGCAAAGTTAAACGAGGGCCGACAAATGAAAGGAAAGCTTCAAAACAGAGGAGAAAAAGAGATCTATACTTTGTAATGATAATAATAATAATAATAATAATAATAATAGTAATAATAATTATAAAGAACTAAATTATGTCTGTGAATACAAGGAGGGTGTATTCAAGCGTTGATTTCAAAATGTGGAGTTTTGTATAGAGCAATATGACGAAGAAAGTTAATTTTTGTAGTGTCACTGACATGCACCAAAAGTTTTGTCTTGGGCTGAGTTTTATGTGGGAACGAACAAAGTAATTTCTTGTAAAAAAAGACGAATAAATATAATTTTCTATCCAATTCTCACATCAAAATATTCTTTGTCAAGGGTTAATTAAATGTACAAGAGGTTGGGGATAGCAAAATCTATCTGGCCACATATAATTATTAAGAACTGAAAAGCTGATGATTGCGTGATATTACCAAAAAAGGTGTTTTTACTTTATCGTTACGGAGATAAAGTTATGTACTGCTGCGGTTCTCAGAACAAAAAAAGTTGTTAAATCCAGTTGCTAAATTTAGAAAAAATCTAATACGTGGTATAGCCAGAATCCATTTTTTTGAGTCCTTGATACCGAAAAATCGAATGGTGACAAAATGTCTGTCTGTCCGTCAATCCTTAAATTTGACACGAGAGGCAAGTAAACACAAAGAAATGAGGGACCGTTCTCTCCTGTCCGCAGTTGGCACCGCTCAGCGCGGCCGTGATACACCCCCCCCCCGCATTGCACCGGGAGAGGCGGCTCAGTGCATCAACTGATGGCACGGACGAGCTTCCTCTCACCGGCAGGTCCTGGATTCGAGTTTGGACCGTGGCTAGATTTTTCACACTAGCTTGTCAGCGAGGTGGAAGTCAGTCGCAGCCTGGAGGGAAAGTCAAGCGATCTGCTCTGATCGGGAGTTTTCCGTGCGTTCTCCGACCAGCAGGGTGAAATCACAACCACCTCCCGAGGAAATACGAGTGGCGCTATAGAATGGCACAGACTTTCCGTATTAGTTTTCTATTTCCATTGGTCTCGTCTAGCAATACGAACTTACCATCAAATCCAGATTTCACCGTGCCAATCGGACCTATGCCACCTTTATGAGTGTATTTTTACAAGAAATTTTAATAAAAAAATTGGAACCATTTTTGAGAAAATTTTGAAAATGTCCGGGAGGTTTCATGTACAGTAGCCCGAATTTTAAAGTATGTTTTTCAAAATCTCAAAACGTCGACTGGAGCCAGATCGACAGGGGTTTCTTCACTTTGGAAAAAATCGTACCAATTGTTTAGGTGCTCGTGGTCTTCACTGACAGACGGACGTTTTACCATCAATTTGTTTCTTGATATCAAAGCCCCACCTTAATTTAATGACTGTATTTTTTTCGTTATAAGGGTCAGCAATAAATTCTGCTGAAAATTCGCCGTTTTCTCGCACAGCATTACAGAAATTTCCCTGAACTAAGTATATTAATCCGTATATACGTATGCATATGGGAGAGTAAAAAACATGCGGGAGCCGGGAGAAAATGCCATTTACCGAAAATTCCGGTTTCTACTGTTCTAAGTAATATGAAATTACTCTCTTTACTTTATATTTGCGGTTTGAAAGATATCTCCAGATTCACCGTTACTATAAGACCGTTTGTTGTTGTAGTAGGACTGTTCTATAATATTATTTTTTTATTCCATAACCCTAGAATTCTTAGGAAAGGTATACTCACATGCAAGGTGACTATAAAGATAATATGAATGATGATGACGCAATGTAGAAAAGAAAAGTTGGCGACCGAGAAATCACCGCGAAGCACATTATCCACAAATCCACAATTAAAGCCTGTATCGACTTGCTGCTCTGGTGCACCAGAGCACACCCGACATCCAAATTATTCAAAGATTTTAATCCGAAGTATAAAGACACATTGCCAATTATAAAGAAACATATTCGAAAATATGTGATTTATTCTGATTTTATGTCAACAGTTAACAAAGAAATACAAAATTATAGTTGTAAATATATCAAATAATTAGAAATCCTCACAAATATTTTAACCATAAATTTGTTAAATAACAGTTTGGAAATAAGAATCTTAAAAACTCTAAACCTTTAGATTTACATCACAGATTTTGAACTGTAGTTATATATGAAATTAACTGTATTAATAGAGAGATACTAATGAGTATCTTCTTCAATCAATGCTAGTTATCTAGTCCACTGTAAATAAATGTTTAGTAAGAAAAGAATCGATCGGAATTCGGGCCTCCGCCCCAAAGATCGAGGAGTGCGACCTGACCCCACGGGCAGGCACCGCAGGCTTTGTTATGGTACTTTGCTTGTTATAGCCTTTTCGTAATCATTTAGCGTCAGTTTAATTTAATAGGCTAACAGAAATAGTTTGAGACTCTTGCAGTAACTTACAGGAGCATAATAGTCTCATGTACACTGTTTATACGAGTGGAACAATATGATATAATAAAATAAAACTATTTCAATTAATTCTTTCATAGCAGACGGCAAGTATAAAAACATTTCACAAAGATCCTAACCTCCAGAAAAAAAACATAATTGCCCAACATATGCACAATATTCAACAAGCGAACTTCACTATTACGCTCGGCGAATTATGGAAATTAAGTATTACAGCCTTGACGTATTGTTAGTTTTACGTCAGTAGAACAATAGACTACCGGTCGTGGTGGAAGCCTTTGGAGAAATTGAACATTTGTGCCTTCAGCGTCACAAATTCTCCCTTGTTTATATATATATATATATATAT